AGTTTTAATAATGATCGGCATATTATAAAATTATCCAATCAATTTCTTTATGGATCAACCAATCACAGATAAAGCCCGCTATGTTGCGTTGAATGGGATTGCTATAGCTCCTTTATTAAATAAAATTAGTAAATTATTATGGTTAATCCCTTCCATTTCTGCCCCCTTGTAATCCTATTTCCTTTTCATTGTATGAATGATACTGTCACACCTCGCTTTTCCAGATTTCTCTTTGGATTTTTCCACACAAGTTCCTTGTTGATTTAATTTGTTTTTAGATGTTTTTGTTCTTCTAAACATGTCTTGAATTCACTTGGTGTAAAATGGAATAATAATTACATATATAAATAAATACACCAAAACCACATGAACTCCATTTTTGGAAATATATATCTTTTTTTTTATTGATTTTGAGGCCATGATCGTCTGGATTTTTTTCAAAAAAGGCTAACCTATCTATTTTGGCAGCTTTAACTGACAATCTTCTTTACACAAAGATGTTAATGGTCTTACATTACCTGTATTAATTAATCTTAATTTTGCTTATTTTTATATATCGTGTTACAAATATAAATAATACAGTTACAAATTTAGTAAACTTTTAAATTAAATTGGAAAGCTATTTCTTAATTATTAAGCCGACTAACGCAAAAAAAAATTTTTAACAATTTTTCTTTCTTTTTAAAAAAAAATCTCGTCCCATACACTTTCATATAACTTTTTTTCTAATAAAACAAACCGATTAATAAATAATATAATAATAAAAAGATGAAACAAACTATAACAACAATTAATCATTTTACATTCTATATCATTTTCCTAATTTTCATTATGGCCGTAAACTCCATTCCTGCAATTGAAAGAATGGAAAATTCGAATAACAGTGGTTCACTAAAACGTCGAGGTCTTTGCTCAGGGGATTCTGAATCAATCTGCAGTGGCGATAGTTTTTATCTAGTGGAGTTAGATTGTAATACTAAATTTGTCAAAAGTCAAAAGTCTTGTCCTGATGGAACAACTTGTGTATTCAACGGCAAGACTGCAAAATGTTCATAAAATATTATATTACTTGGGACTCGAGGGATAATGGGAAGGAGGCTAAAATAATTAGAATAATATTACAATTAATTTTTTTTTTTTAATTTGATATAAAAATTTTTTTTAAATGATATGTGTAGGAATACTTTTTATATTAATACGAATTATAAATATAGATTGTTTCATTTTTTTTTAAAATTTCTTTATCTATTAATTTATTTATTATTTTTTTTTTACACGTCATTTTTAAAAAAGCTTTAACTTAATTAATTCGTTTTTGCCATAATAATAAATTAATTAATTTTATCGGATATCAATTGATAAATTTAGAAACTTGACTTGTAAATCAATTTATTTAAATATGAGTTGTATTTAATGACCATGACAATACAAAGTCCTTTTAATAAAAGTTTTTTATTTTATTGATTTAACAAAATGTCAAAAACCGTCAACCCACGTTTATACGTAGTTTCCAATCGTCTACCATATACAATCACAAAAACTGATAATGATTATGAATATAAATGGTCTTCTGGTGGATTAGTTAGTGCTTTAAGCGGTCTAAAGAAAATGAAGGAATTTACTTGGATTGGTTGGCCGGGTTAGTTTAAAATAAGTTTGAATTGTACTTTATTTTATATGTATTTCATCAATTCACCAATTATTATTAATATAATTTATAAACAACAAATACTGTATACATAAATAAATGCACAAACATATATATGTTTATCTTAGGTATTAATATACCTACTGATGATCGAAAAAAAGTTGACAAGCGTTTAGGGGAACTTGCATGTTCAGCTGTATATGTTGACGACGATATAGCAGAAGGACATTACAATGGATTTTCCAATTCTATCTTGTGGCCATTATTTCATTATCATCCTGGTGAAATCTCGTTTGATCAAGAAAATTGGAAATCTTATCAAACTGTTAATAAATTATTTGCTGAGGCCGTAAATGAAGTTGTTAAAGATGGTGATATGGTCTGGGTACAGGATTATCATTTTATGTTGCTACCACGTATGTTAAGAGAGAAATTTGGTAAGAGCAAACCAAATATTAAAATTGGATTTTTTTTACATACCCCTTTTCCAAGTAGCGAAATCTACAGGTATTCGTTTGAAAGTTTTATTTATCTATCCATACATTCATCGATATCATATCATCTAATTAATTTACATTCATTCCTATTATTCTCTTTAATAGAATTTTGCCTGTAAGAAAAGAAATACTTGATGGTGTATTGAATTCTGATTTGATTGGATTTCATACATATGATTATGCTAGACATTTTTTATCATCGTGTACACGAATATTAGAATTAAATGCTATGCCAAATAGGATTGACTTTGGAGGTAGACATGTTCATGTTGGAACTTTTCCAGTAGGAATTGATCCTGAAAGATTCGCTGAAGTAAGTTTATGTTAAACATTAAATATTATTATTGTTATCATCGTTGTTAATATTAATGATTATTATTATAGGGATTGAAGCAACCAAAAGTTAAACAACGTATCAAAGTTCTAGAAGAAAGATTCAAAGGCATAAAAGTTATAGTAGGAGTCGATAGACTTGATTATATAAAAGGTGTTCCTCATAAACTACACGCGCTTGAAGTATTTTTAAGCAACAATCCAGACTGGATAGGCAAAGTGGTGTTGGTACAAGTGGCTGTACCCTCAAGACAAGATGTTGAAGAATATCAAAATTTAAGAGCTGTTGTTAATGAATTAGTTGGTAGAATAAATGGTAAATTTGGTACTGTAGAGTTCATGCCAATACATTTCTTGCATCAAACTGTTCCCTTCGAGGAATTGGTTGCTTTGTATGCTATTTCTGATGCTTGTTTGGTCAGTTCTACAAGGGATGGTATGAATTTGGTTTCTTACGAGTATGTTGTTTGTCAACAAAAAAGACCTGGTGTTTTAATTCTAAGTGAATTTGCTGGTGCTGCGCAATCGTTAAATGGTATATCTTAAATATATATGATTTTTAAAAAAAAAAAAAAACCTCGTAATAATGATAATTAACGCTATTTTTATATTTTTATTCATTTGCAAAAAATAAGGCTCAATTATCGTTAATCCTTGGAACACCGAAGGGCTTGCCAATGCAATTAAGGATGCTGTTACTATGTCTGAAGAATCACGAATTTCTAATTTTCAAAAACTATATCGTTATGTTACAAAATACACCGCCGAGTATTGGGGTGATAGTTTTGTAAAAGAGTTAACATTATTGACCACTGAAAAAAAATATCAACAACCATCATCATCGAAAACTAAGAAATAATTAATTTGGCAATCATTATAAACTTTTATTCTAATAAATTTATCAAAAAAAATATTTTTATTTATGACAATGAGTTCATGCATCCATTTAATCTGATCTGGTATGATGTATATATCGATCATGCTATGCTGCCAACACAAATCGGCATATTCACGATTTAAAATTATACCTGAAAACGTTTTTAATAATTAATCATTCTTTATTTTTTTTTTATATCATACATCAGACAATTATTATCTTTATGTTACTATTCTGTTACTATTGCTGTTACTATTATTTTTTACTCGTGTAGTATTTCATACATCAAATATCTCCTTTAATCCCTGTGACATTTATCTGGCATGTTACTTCAGGCGCCATTTTTTTTTACATTACCTTGCATGTTACAATAAATCCCTTGGACTTGGGATTCGATCTGAAAAACATTTAAATTTGTATCACACCATTTTACGGTGACACAATTTCTTAATAATCATGATTGTAAAAAATATTCCCACTTCATTACCAGAACAGATTCTTAAAGTTCGTAATCAAAGTGTACAATACAAATTAAGAGATAAGGTTTGTTCTAACACGACCAATTCAATATTTCATAGTAGTAACAAATAACGTAGATATAAATACCATGTATCGCATAATATACTTATACAGCATAATTGTGTAATAATTTCTTTTTATTAATATATAAAAAAAAAATGTTACAAGACAAGACAATTTATTGATTTTATGCGTATCACCATCAATGGTGGTAGGGGTGGTGATGGGTGTATATCATTTCATCGTGAAAAATATGTTGACAAAGGCCCACCTGATGGTGGTAATGGTGGTAGAGGTGGTAATGTGATTTTTGTTGCATCATCAAATCATTCATCACTACATACCGTTCCCAAAAATATAAAAGGTGGCAGTGGAGGTCCTGGTAAAGGTCGTTTAAGGCACGGATTATCTGGAAAAGACGTAATGATAAACATACCTTTAGGAACAATCATAAAAGAGGTTGATCCACCACAGAGAAAACTCTCTAGCAATGATGACGACGACGATAATAATATTATTAATGAGGATGATAAAAAACTTGACGAGGAAGCTTCACTTGCACGACAAAGAGCTGACATATGGGTGCATTATCCTCGCTATGAAACACAAAATCCTTTAGGCTCTTTTTTCTTGGAAGCAGAGAAATTACTCCAATCAGAATCTCGTAAGAAAAAAAAACTCAACGATAAATTGTATCTAGACGTCTCGACTCCAAATGTTCAACATGTAGTTGCACAAGGCGGCTCGGGCGGTAAAGGAAATCCACATTTTTTAACAAGCGCGAATCGCTCGCCCAAGTTTGCAACACGTGGTCAACGAGGTCAAGTCAAATATTTAGAATTGGAACTTAAAACAATAGCGGATGCGGGTCTTGTAGGTTTGCCTAATGCTGGTAAAAGCACATTCCTCACTGCTGTCTCCAATGCACATCCAAAAATAGCTGCTTATCCTTTCACAACGCTTAATCCCTACATCGGAACTGTTGATTATAATGACAAATTTCAATTGACCATTGCCGACATTCCTGGTTTAATTCGTGGCGCACATAAAAATATTGGTTTGGGTCATTCGTTTTTACGACACGTGGAAAGATCAAAAGTTTTGGTGTATGTGATAGATTTGTCTGGCGAAAGTCCATGGAATGATTTAACTATTTTACAAAATGAATTGGAATTATATAATAGTGTTCTAACAAAACGTCCTTCGTTGATCATAGCCAACAAAGCTGACGTCACCGAAGTAGCTAAAAAAAATCTGCCAATACTTGAATCAAAAGTTAAAGAAATTGAAAAACAGCTTGACCAACAATTTATCGTTATACCCATTTCAGCAAAATATCGTAAAAATATTCATAAAGTAACTTCATTACTAAGAAGTACAGTTGAAAATTTTAAAAACAATGAATCAGCTGTGACAGCTTGATGGGTGGATGTGTATTTGTGTACATTATTAACATATGTATTTATATGTATTTATTAAAACAATTATTAAAAAGATAAATTGAAATTTGTAAATATCAAACACGTACATACATATTTATAAATATATGTTTAGAAATCAGCATCAAGTGTAAAAATATTTTCTGAAGGATCACCATTTGACATAACACCAGCCTTTTGATATTCCGATACACGTTTTTCAAAGAAATTAGTTTTACCCTGCAAACTAATCAAGTCCATAAAATCAAAAGGATTTTCTGATTTATAATATTTAGGACAATTCAATGACACTAATAACCTATCTGCAACAAATTCTATGTAACGTTTCATTAGCGTTGCGTTCATACCAATGAGATTGCATGGTAATGCATCGGTCAAAAATTCTTGTTCAATAACAACCGCTTCAGTGATAATTTTTGTAACGAGTTGTTGAGATATTCGATTTTTCAAATGATTAAACAATAAACATGCAAAATCAGTGTGGAGTCCTTCATCTCTGGAAATCAACTCGTTGGAGAATGTTAAACCTGGCATCATTCCTCTTTTCTTCAGCCAGAAAATAGAAGCAAATGCCCCAGAAAAAAATATTCCTTCGACTGCTGCAAATGCTACAAGCCTTTCCGCAAACGATGATTTCTGATCGCATATCCATCTCAATGCCCATTCAGCTTTCTTTTTAATACATGGTACTATATTTTATAAGAGATATTTATGTTTAATTAGCATGTGTATGTTTATATAAATCACATTTATATTATATGAGTATTACTAACTGGTTTCAAAAGCATCAAATAAATATTCTTTCTGCACAGGATCTTTTATATAAGAATCGATAAGAAGAGAATACATTTCCGAATGTATGTTTTCAATCATTATTTGAAATCCATAGAAGCAACGTGCTTCAGGAATTTGTACTTCATTGCTAAACCTTTCCACCAAATTCTCATTAACAATACCATCTGAAGCAGCAAAAAATGCCAATATATGCGAAATAAAGAATCTTTCATCATCGTTAAGTCTATTCTCCCAATCATGATTGTCTTTTGATAAATCGACTTCTTCAACGGTCCAAAATGATGCTTCAGCTTTCTTATACATTTGCCAGATCTATCATTATTATATATATATATATCGGTCGGGATTAATTATTTGAGGATATATAAAAAACATAATTATTCATTAATTAAATAAATAATAAAATCTTACCTCATGATATTGTATAGGAAATAAAACAAATCTTCTTGGATTTGGTTTTAACAAAGGTTCATCTAGTTGATATTGATCAACTATTTCCTCGATTTCAGTTGATTTTTCTTCTAGTTTATTTAAAGCCTTTTTAACAACAGCGGTTGTTTTTGTGGTAGTTATTGTTGCGGCAAAGATGTTTTCATTTTCCTTGTTAGTTATTTTTTTCACAAGTGATTTCTTTAAAACGGCCTTTTTATTGTTGTTGATATCGTTGTTATTGTTAGTAGTCTCTTTTACGTTTGCAATTATGTTTTGTGTATTAGAAGTAAGAATTTTAATTGTTGAGTTCATGTTTTTTTTTTTTTTTTATTATTAAAAATTTCGTAAGAAATAATTTTTAAAAAGGACGGTGGGTGGGCGATATTTATAAATGTTTTTAAAGTTACAAATTTGGAACAACGCGTTAATTAGTATTTTGTTTGACACGTGGTATGATCAAAAATTCCGGAACTTTTTATTAATTTGAAAAAAAGAAGTTTCTATTTTATACTCGGACCGTTTTACTTATTATTGATTAAACTACACTTGAAAATAACTCGCGTCATTAATAAAATGATTCACTCAGTATGAATACTTGTAAAATATCGCAATAATACGAAATTTCCTAGCATATTAATAATATTAATATTAATATCGCGTATTATGTCACTGGATCTTATTATTATCGCGTCAACCATCGCAACAAATAAACAAACAAATAAATAAATACACAAATGTGTAAATATAGAAATATTAAAAAAAAAATTTTTTCTCGATTGAATTTCCAGTTTTAGTAAGCACGATCAGGGTGCGAATTACCTGAACCTATTTTAGAAGGATTTTTAAAGATAAAATTTTATAATAGTAATAATTGTAACAGTAACAGTATTTCGCCACGATTCAAAAAACAAGTTACATCCCAAAAACAAATTATATCTTTCACTCAACAATCGTATAGTAAATTTAATTATAATAAAAATCCTTGATCGATTATGGCGAATGAATTATCATCATCAAATTTATTCTCATTGAAAGGGAAAATAGCTTTGGTAACAGGAGGTGGAACTGGAATTGGTAAAATGATTTCTAAAACTTTTGTAAAAAATGGCGCAAAAGTTTATATTGCCTCGAGAAATAAAAAGACTTTGAATGAAGGTAAAAAATAAAAATTAAAACTTATTATTTTAAATTAATCTTTTTTTAAAAAAGATTTAATTCATTATATATAAATAGCTGCCAAAGAACTAAATCAAATAGGATCATCATCGGGAGGGAAATGTATCCCAATACAAGCAGATCTATCATCAAAATTAGCATGTGATAACTTAGCAAACGGAATTGCTAATATTGAGGATGGTAAACTTGATATTCTAGTCAATAATTCTGCTGTCTTTACACATGCTCCCCTAACAAATATACTTGAAAGTTCGTGGGATGCAGTTTGGAAAGTAAATGTTGTTAGTGTATTCTATTTAACTATAGCGTAGGTTATTACTGATTGTTTATTTATTACTATTGTTATCTTGAAATTGAAATATAATGCAATTTTCTTTGTCTAATAAATAGATGTTTACCATTACTCCAAAAAGCTAGTAATGCTCCACAACATCCTTCCAAAGTCATTATTATTGGCAGTGCAGCTGGCAAGTTCTATATTCTGTGTGGATAAATGACAATGCACACTATAATTTTAATAAAGTATTGTTCACTTTACATGATAGGCATGGGCGAAGGTAATTTGGAAAGTTTGGTTGCTGCTCAAAAGGATACTGCTTTACCATATAATGTATCTAAATG